TATATAAAAATCATTAAAATGAAAACATAATGCAGCAAAAGAAGCAAGACAGAAGGGGTAAGCTTTCTTGCCTACCTTAGTCACACAGAGGCAGTGGCAGAACTGGTATCAGGAACTTTACCTCTACCATCCCTACAATTATCTATCTATATTGTTCGAGACAATGGCTCACTCTGTTGCCCAGGCTGGAGTACCGTTGCACAATGGTGGCTTACTGTAACTTCAGCTTCTCAAATAATCTGTATCTTTGTCACAAATGGAAAGTTAGAGTATCACTTGCTAAGGAGACAGATGAGATCATAGCACACTACAGCCTTGGGTTCCTGGCCTCATGCAATACTCCTGTAGGCAACCTCCGCCTCCTGGGTTCAAGCGATTCTCCTGCCTCAGCCTCCCAAGTAGCTGGGATTACAGGTGTGCACCACCACGCCTGGCTAATTTTTTGTGTTTTTAATAGAAACAGGGTTAGCCAGGCTGGTCTCGAACTCCTGACCTCAGGTGATCTGCTGGCCTTGGCCTCCTAAAGCGCTGAGATTATAGGCGTGAGCCACTGCGCCCGGTCAGGCACCACCACTCTTGGAGGGCAGAAGCTGGCATCTTGCTGCATTTGCTCAAGGAAGCTCTGTAGGTACTGCTTCCTCACTGTCTTGTTTCCATACTCAGCAACCTTTTCATGACCCATCCCCATTCCTACATTTAATCACACACATCTCAGAGTGCTAGGGCTTTATTACAAATGGAGTTGACTGCTAGAGAGGCCCTTCTCCAATCTTTCTTCTGTACCTTCTTCCCTCCCAAAGACATCCCTGTAGGGGAGGTCAGTAGGCCATTAGGTAGGAGGAAATCTGGAGAGTGAAAAGGGGCACTGCTTTTGTCAACGTCCTCTAAAACAACCACTGAGTCTGAAGGCTGGCTCCAGTTGAGAATCTTCTATTGGAAGAGGTTTAGCTCTCATCTTCAAGGTCCTTCATTTCTACATCCTGGGGAGCTTTTGTCTTCTTTTGCCTTTTGAGCTGTGGTTCACTAGTCCTGGCTGGCTTTGGAGGGGCTTCCACTGAGTAAAGGGAAGAAGGAAGTATTAACCCAAATAAATCCAGGATTCCCCTCACCCACCTCTGTCCCAGCCTCACCTTCCATGGCTGCCTTCTCTTTCTGGGCAAGCCGGATCTGCTGGAGGAGTTTTCTGCGCTTCTTCCCTGACAGAGTAATGTTGGCACGTGCACTGGACCTGATGGGTAAGTGGAAATAAAGATAGCTAGGTTAACCTGAACCATCCGAGGTCACACAAATGGTTCTGGCTATAGAAAAAGTATTAAATAAATATAATACAAATAGTAATAGAAACCCTAAATATTTACATTAAAGAAGCTAATAAAAGGACGAGAAACTAAAAAAAGGATCATGGGCAGTGGCTCATGCCTGTAATCCTAACAGTTTGGGAGGCTGAGGTGGGCGGATCACCTGAGGTCAGGAGTTCAAGACCAGCCTGGCCAACATGGTGAAACCCTGTCTCTATTAAAAATACAAAAATTAGGCCAGGCACGGTGGCTCACGTCTGTAATCCCAGCACTTTGGGAGACTGAGGCGGGCGGATCACGAGGTCAGGAGATCGAGACCATCCTGGCTAACACTGTGAAACCCCGTCTCTACTAAAAATACAAAAATTAGCCGGGCGCGGTGGCGGGCGCCTGTAGTCCCAGTTACTCGGGAGGCTGAGGCAGGAGAATGGCGTGAACCTGGGAGGCAGAGCTTGTAGTGAGTGGGGATTGTGCCACCGCACTCCATCCAGCCTGGGCGACAGAGCGAGACTCCGTCTCAAAAAAAAAAAAAAAGAAAGAAAGTAATTAGTGGGATGGGAACTCTTCCTCAAAACACAGGAGGCCTTGAAACTTACAAGTGAAATCCTATGAGTACCTTTGGGAAAACTCACCGAGTTTTACACGCCTATGTGTGCACTTTTCTGTATGTAAAAATAAGTTTACTTATAAAAATCTATGTGAATGTACAATATTACTTGGAGAGCCAACAGATTTCCTGAGATTCGTTTGTGTTTTTTGTTTTTTTTTTTTGAGACGTAGTCTCACTCTGTCGCCCAGGCTGGAGTGCAGTAGCCTGATCTCAGCTCACTGTAGCCTCCGCCTCCCAGGTTCAAGCAATTCTCCTGCCTCAGCCTCCCGTGTAGCTGGGACTACAGGTGCCGGCCACCATGCACGGCTAATTTTTGTATTTCTAGCAGAGATGGGGTTTCACCATGTTGATCAGGCTGGTCTCCCGATCTCTAGTGATCCGCCCGCGTCAGCCTCCCAACGTGCTGGGATTACAGGCGTGAGCCACCGCCCCCGGCTTCCCTGAGATTCTTAACAGAATCCAAAACCCAAAGAAAGGTTGTCTGCTACAGGTATTGTGAGAGGCTAGCAGAGCTTAGGAACTAACAGACAGACATTCCCCGCATAAGCGTCAGTGCACAAGGAGGTGAGCTGAGAGGTGAAGCTGCTCTGGAGCTCTGCAGGGAGGAGGGAAGACTCGGTGGGGACGACCAACAGGAAGAGGGTCTAGTACTCACGCCCGCTTTTTGAGGTGGTGCCGCGTGATCAGCCCTTGGTCTATCACAGCCCCGACCACCCGGTGCCTCAGACGCCGCTCCCGATTCAACACCCGCCGGCGTTTGAACAGCTTTTTCTTCAGCTCCTACTGGGGAGAAAGATGCGAATCAGATGGAGTGGGCTCACCGCGACCCCGGGCCGCTCCACGAGGCAACCCCGGCCACCCATTGATCCCATCTTGTGCGAGATAAACGGGCTCGGGGACACTTCAGGAAACAAAGTCGCGGCCCCCCAAGAGTCACCGTTCGGGGCCGGTTGATCTTTCCCCCGGGAGCTCCCATAGCTGCGATGCCACGCCAGTTCACTGTGAGTACTTCCGCTCGGCGCGGGATCCGCGTGGCTCCGCCCCGGCCTTCCGCGGGCCAATCGCAATTCGGGGGCGGGTCCTTGGCCTATATAAAGGAGCTCCGCAATGCGCCAGACCTTTCGGAGGGAGGTGAGCGAGTAAGTGAGGTTTCTGTGTAGTAGCCGGATTGGGCGGCCGGGAGTGGCGTGGGTGTCGGGCGGAAGGCTCTGAGCGAGGCCTCAGGATCCTCCTTTTCTTGGCGGGGATCGGGCTTGTGGTACCGCTCCCCGTAATGTGCGGAGGAAGAGGGAAAGGGCTCTGGCCCCCTCGGCGTCATGTCTTCGGTGCCGGCGGCTTCCCATCCGCTGGTTCTATCCTCAAGCGCCGGGACACCGGGAATCTCGGACCGGCACAACCGAGATCCAGCTGGCTCCTCCATGGGGTTGCTCACATGTTCTCATTTGATTTCAGGTCTGCGGACGCTGTATCCCCTCTTCCACTTCCCGCTGCAGCCAATAAAGGCCGTTCCTACCATAGTCAGTCTGTGTCCGCGTTCTTTTTCCCGAGACTGCAGAGTTTGGGGAAGCTGTATGCTGCCTTTCGCTACGCGGAATTTGCAGATCTTCCCCTGGACCTCGGGCCTCTGGATGGAGTAGGGTGGACGCTTCACACAAGGTTCTCTGGTCGAACTTAACGAAGCTCCAGATGGCTGCGCTGCGTCGAATGCTCCACTTGCCGAGCCTGATGATGGGGACGTGCCGCCCCTTTCCGGGTAGGGAGGTGGGGGCAGAGTAGGGAGGGCAGGGTGGGTTCCTCGTGACTCAGGAGTGTAGTCCCTGAAATTGTGGTTCTCAGACCCTGCGGTGGCTCACGGCTGATACCCTAACACTTTGCCAGTCTGAGGTGGGCAGATCGCTTGGCCAAGGAGTTCGAGACCAGCCTAGGATAACATAGCGAGACCCCCGTCTACAAAAAAATTAACCGGGCATGATGGCGCCTGTAGTACTAACTACTCAGGAGACTGACGTGGGAGGATCACCTGAGCCCAGGAAGGGGAGGCTTCAGTGAGCCATGATTGTGCCACTGCACTCCACCCTGGGTCACAGAGTGAGACCCTGTCTTAAAAAAAAAAAAAAAAAAAGACCCCAGTGTGTATATGCGCCGTTTTTGCAGTGGCGAGATAGACCGAGTGACACCCTCCAACCGTGCCCACAGACTCACTGGCTGGTAGCTGCCTGGCGGACCGCTGTCTCTGGGATCGGCTGCATGCCCAGCCCCGTTTGGGCACTGTCCCCACCTTCGACTGGTTCTTTGGATACGAGGAAGTCCAGGGGCTCCTACTACCGTTGCTGCAGGAGGCACGGGCTGCCATTCCTCTGCGGGTGCTGGATGTGGGCTGTGGGACCTCCAGCCTATGTACAGGCCTCTACACCAAATCTCCACACCCAGTGGATGTGTTAGGGGTGGACTTTTCTCCTGTGGCTGTGGCCTACATGAACAGCCTCCTGGAGGGTGGCCAAGGCCAAACACCTCTATGCCCTGGGCACCCTGCCTCCAGCCTCCACTTCATGCACGCCGATGCCCAGAACCTGGGGTCTGTGGCTTCTTCAGGCTCTTTCCAACTACTGCTGGACAAGGGCACCTGGGATGCTGTTGCCAGGGGAGGTCTGCCTAGGGCTTACCAGCTGCTATCAGAATGCTTGCGGGTTCTAAACCCTCAGGGGACCCTAATTCAGTTCTCAGATGAGGACCCTGATGTGCGACTGCCCTGCCTGGAACAAGGGTCCCATGGCTGGGCTGTGACTGTGCAGGAGCTAGGCCCTTTCAGGGGCATCACCTACTTTGCTTACTTGATTCAAGGCTGTCATTAAAGACATTTTAGTAGTCCTAACCCTAGTATTTCTGTGGGCAAGGAGAGGGCTGAAGAACTATTGTCTTTGCAAGCTATCTGGCTGCAAAGTGAGTCCTGGTTTCCACATTTACTAGCTGGGTACCATATTGCTGAATGTTTCTGTTCCCCAGTTTACTCATCTGCAGAGTGGGAATAATCTGGGGTTACAGAGATTGCATACAATGATGTGTGCAATATTTAGCACAAGATGAATGCTGAAAAGAGGAGGTACAAGTGGGTCTTTCCCCAGTTTCAACTAACTGGAGCTCCTAAAAGCAGCAGACAGGAACTGAATCCAAACCCCGGCGCCGACTGACTTGTATAATCTAGTGGCCTAAACTGTAAGCCTCATTTTTCTCACCTGTAAAAGGAGATTGTGAGAGGATGGGTATAAGGAGCTTCATAAACCTGGATGAGATGTTTGAGAGGGAGGGAACAATGCTTACCCTCAAAGCTATTAGGAGGCAGGAGACAAGAATATTCCACAAAGCCACTTCAACAAGCACAGGAGCCTGTTGCTGAGTCCCAGAAAGGACAGTGGTTGGTGGCTTCCAGACACTTAGTGTCCTCAAGAATCCAACAAGCATCTTCATCATCCTGGTCTGCCCCCAGCTAAGTCCAGCGTGTTCTGTGGGCTCCAAGCCCAGCCTGGGATGGAGGAGGAGAAGGGAGAAAAATATTACTGATATATTATCAAATTACAAAACGGGCTCATTGCTATAATCACAGCACTTTGGGAGGCCAAGGTGGGCAGATTGCTTGAGTCCCAAGAGTTTGAGCCCTGGCAATCAAGTGACACCCCTAACTACAAAAACAAATTAGTCAGGGATAGTGGCACAGGCATGTAGTTCCAACTACTCAGAAGGCTGAGCTGGGAGGACTGCTAGAGCCCTGGGAGGTTGAAGCTGCAATGGGCCGTGATAAGCTGCTGCACTCGTGCTAAAAATTAATGTGGTATTCTTTGCTTATGAAAATAGAGAGCAATTTTATCACTAAGAACCTAACCTCGCAGCCTCAATTTTCTCATTTATAAAGGGGAAGTACCTTCATTGGGTTTTTCTGAAAATCATGAAGTAAAAGTGTTTA